TTGTGCAGAATTGTGCCTTGTTGCAGTGGTTCACAATGGTTCTGTCATAATTTTTAAAAAAATAATTTGTCTTGTAAAAGGCTGTTTTCACTGCATACAACAAAAGAAAATAATTCTACATTGAAAGAAAACAAAATATAAATGATAATCTGTAAGAAACACATAACATGTTCGTAACTCGCAAAACAAGAAATTATTATAGTTTTAAAATTGCACATTTATATGAATTTCTTTTGTATTGCAGGACATATTGGTACAAGTTTTACAGATATTGTTGAAGTCAAAATTACTGGTAAGTGCTGATTCAGTGGATATTGCCACAGAATAGATGCTAAAGTGTGTAATGGATTTTAATGGATTGGTCCTTTTTTAAGGTTTTGGAAGATGAAAATGCAAATGTGGATGAAGTAGAAATGAAGCCTGATACGCTAATCAAATTGTACTTGGGGTACAAAAAGTAAGTGATGTTAAAGCACTAGGACTGTTAATTGTTTGCTATGAATCATATTTGCTAAACTTTACTTCTCATTTTAGTAAAAAGCTGAGGGTGAACATAAATGTACCGATGAAGACTGAACAGAAGCAAGAGCAGGAAACTACACATAAAAACATCGAAGAAGATAGGAAGTTGTTGATTCAAGTAGGTCTTTTTGGAAATAAGAACATAAGAAATAGGAGCAGGAGTAGGCCATTCGGCCCCTCGAGTCTGCCCCGCCATTTAATACGATCGTGGCTGATCTTTTAACCTAATTCCATTTACCCGCCCTATCCCCATATCCCTTTTTTAAAAACTAAAGGGATTTACATTTGTCGGGTCATTTTTTTAAATTACAATTTACGTTTATATGGCGCACTTCCTGTAGGAAGAATGACTCAAAGCACTTCACACAGTTAGTCACCTAAGCTGAGGTTAATGGGGTTTATTACAGTTCTCTTACATCTATAGGCTCAGAAACTATAGGAATAATAGTTGGAGTCTTTGTCATAGTGCTTCAGGATTTATGGCAAAGTTTAGTTTGTAGAAATTCATCAAATTATAAAACTGCAGGAATTTTAATTTGTCAACTTGTCATATTGTACCAAATCTGCAGGCTATTGGAAAATGCCGTCATTGCAAGGTAACCGATTTTAAAAAGTTGCCTGCCCTTTTTTTCAACTTCCTGTTGCTGGGCTTTTCTTCTCACAAAAACACTGTAAGACATTTATTTTCATTGTAAATGATTTTATTCCTATTAAGGAATGCTACTCGACTGCAATTTAAAATTGTTACCTTTCATCAGCAAGTTGGAAAATACTGCAAGTTTACAATGAATATTTGTAGTTCTGTTATGTGGTGTGATTCCCCGCTAAGCTGCAGTTTCTCGAATAAGTGGTGAACACTAATGTTTCTTCCAGGCTGCGATTGTGCGAATCATGAAGATGCGAAAGATTCTGAAACACCAGCAGTTGCTGGCGGAGGTACTGAACCAGCTTTCCTCCAGGTTCAAGCCCAGGGTCCCCGTCATTAAGGTTAGTACAGCCTATTAAGCAATTCATTGATCAAATCACTTGCATGACACCGTCTTTTTATAAATGTGTGAAGTTACGAAGCTCATTTCCATTTTTTTTACACACATACGAAGACCTCTGACAAAATTAAAATTTTAAATTGTGTTCACAGTGCACAGCAAATGTAATTCTTTTTAATGAATTTTATAAATGCTGTAAAGTTGCATGCTTTTTGTCCCAAAAATTGTGAACTTTTAAAGCTGCTTATAGAATGGTGCCACTTACTAATAACAACCAAATATTAATGAAATACCTGTTAAAGCTAGTCATTGTATCAGATTGTTTGTTGTAAATGTATCATTAACATTGTGTATCTTGGCAACCCATATCCATCAGAACTGAAGAATAACAATAAATCCTTACATTTGGTGTAGTGCCTTTCATTGGGAGGATGTCCCAAATTGCAATGTCTGCTTTCTATATTGATTGTCCAGCGCCTTGGGATGTCCTTCGGATATTAAAGGCATTATATAAATGTAATTTTGTTGTTGTTGTAAAACTTACTTCAGTGCAAAGGGAAATTTATCTTGTTATATCAGTGTTGCAATAAAAAAAAGTAACATTACTTTGCAATTGGACATTACTACTTCAACTTGTTTGCATCTATAACCAAGAATGAATATTATCTTGAGAAGCATAATAACAGGATGGTAATGTGTACCTCAGGGTGGCTTATGCTTGCCAATTCCTGAATACAATTACAATACTATTTGAATGCATGTAATTACAAAATGTAAATAAAAAATACGTATTACCCCTAAAGGCAGCCACAGAACAATCAGAAGAACTGGTGAATTTCCAGGTTTGCAATTTCAAACAATTTTAGCAGTTGCTTGAGATTGTATGGTAACAGCCAAAGGATACATAAAATCTTGTTTGCCATGTTAATACTCCTATCATTATCCTCATCACACTTTAAATACTAGGTTAGCTACATGCAAATCATACTTATTGCTTTACAAAGTTTATGTAAATGCTCGAACACTTGCTGAGAATGGTAATTTTAAAAAATTCCTTTGAATTTCATTCAAATGTGAAGTGAGTTGGAACACCTGTACATTTTCGCATTATTTTTCTCATGTGTACACTTTCTGTAGAAATTTGAAACTAAATACAACAACAAGATTCCATTTATAGAGCGCCTTTCAAGTCGGGAGGATTGAAATAAATCATAAATAGTACAAACTCCTGGTAATAAACTAGGATTGTGCTCGTTTGGTACTGTGTTAAATACCACATTTTTCCTCTTACAGAAATGCATCGACATACTGATAGAAAAGGAGTATTTGGAGCGTGTGGATGGGGAAAAGGACACCTACAGTTATTTGGCTTAAATATTATACAAGTGTCTGAATAAAAACTTCATTCCTAAGACATATTGGCTCTGAATACAGAGAATGCTGTTAGTTTTGTGATAAAGATGGGAATGTACACGATTACATTCTCGAACTCATCGCAGCCAGTCTGCTGCCCGCTGGACCTCCCTTTAAACTGTGAGAGCGGAAACCACCAGCCAGTCACAACCTTTACTTTACAGAACTGTTCTCAGGATTGCTACATTTCAATGTGTAAATAGCGAAAGAAACCCCTAACCTTAATTCAATAAAATAAGGAATTGAACCTTCTACATAGGGGTTGCATGCTACTGCCTATCTGCATTTAAAAACCTTACTTCAACTATACATGGCCGCGACTGCTCTGAACGTAAGGAGCAGCAGGAAAACTAATTTATGAATGCAATGTTGGCAGCACTTTCCAAAAGCGTACTAGTAAGTCTGAACTGGCCCGTAGAAAATGTGTAATCTGCATTGTTATCTGCTAAGAGAAAAACCATTTGTATAGTGTGGTTCATTTTTTAATGTGTGATAAATAAAAATTTAATGATTTCTGTAAATGGTGTGATTTAATTTTATGGTTTTAAAGAAATAGCCCAAACCAGAAGTGTATTCACAAACATTTTTATAGAATATGGTTGTCTGTTGTTGATCCATATAAAAAAACTAATCAATGTTTATAGTGTGCAAACTTTTTATATGCATCAGTCTAATCAGTCATCTATTCCCTCCCCCTTCTCAGTGTTCAACTCTGTCCTTGGGCAGTGCTCTGAGATGCTGATCATGCATGAAGGATGCTGTATAAATGCAAGCTGTTGTAATTTGACTTTGTAACCAAACAGTTGCTGGAGTATAGATGCTCAAGCTAGTTTTATCTATATAAGTAGATGCAAAAGATTAAATGCAGGGAGTGATCATATAGAAGCCTTGCAATTTTTCTTTCAAATCTTTTTGTACAATGTTTACCAGGAGTTTGTATGATTTTCCTCATTCTTGAACTAGCTTCATAGTTGAGGCTGTTCATTGTGAAGAACAATTGGTGTCTAACATTAATGTATGTAAACTTAGGTATGAGTCTCGCTCAATTGAAACGACTATTTTCTCAGTCTGAAGGTTGTTGGTTCAAACCCCACATCATGACTTTGAATCAAGAGTGAATACAATTTAGTGCCTTTCACATTGGGACGATGTCCCAAAGCCCTAAATGGGGCAAATACCTTGGACAATGTCTGCTGCATTGATAGAGGTTTTGTCTTTCTAACGAAACATTAAACAGGTTCTGTCTGTTCAGGTGGAAGTTAAAGATCCCAATGCACTATTCAGTTTCTATCAATGGCCTAGCTAACAGTTTACCAAATAAAATTGATTGTACAATTATTGCTGTGGTTACCTATTAAATAGTCTCCACACTTTAGAGCAAATGTTGAAATGTTGGGTGAGTTTCCTTACTCCACATCCTGGTTTACCTAGCAATAAATAGGAGTTGTCAGATTGCTTTTCTGGGGGTCAATAATTCCTTCAAAAATATTGGGACACTCAGTCCACAACTGTCTGCGGGACGCTGCTGTGTTTTACCCACAAGGTACAATCAATTCACTTTAGTGTATTCTTTGAAGTGTTGAGATGCCTCAAAGATGTGATAAGGTGCTATATCAAATGCAAGTAGTATTTTAAACTAACAAACCAGTCTTACCACCCTCATTCCCCTAGAGGATTGAGTTTTAAGCAATGCCACAACATGGTCTGGCATGAAGGACACTATATAAATGCAGTTTTACCCCACTCTCTGCTCACCAGGCACTTCATGTCCCCACTCCAGGTGCAAATTTTACTTGTATTGATTTCTTCCCACCTTGAAAGGTGCTATAAAAATGTAAGGTTTGTATTGTTACAAAACAAATGGGGCAAATACCTTGGACATGTAAAATAGCGAGTGCTGAAATTAGACTCTGATGATACTGTTCAGACATACATGTATTCCTCCCATCACTCATTTTAAACCCAGACATTCAATACTTCAGAGGTCCTGATGAAGGCTCTGCACTCATTTGATCTCATGCTTCCAGAACCAGCTCTCAAGATCAATTTGAGTAAAGCATCTTCACAATTTAGTCAACACATTTTAAAATTCAAGTTTTATTTGTTATATTTCCACTGACAGATCACCACACTAGTGTATAGCCAATGCACAATATAAAAAAACCTGGCAGCTTTTAAAAATGTTACAAAGGTCATTGGAATTTGTTATATTATAAATTATTGTCACAGTATTGTTTTTAAAAAACAGCATTGCTTCAAATATACGTTTCTCCATACAGTACATAGAAATCCTGAAATACAAAACCAGCTGCCATTGGCTTTCATCTGAGGCAGTTTGAAATTCATGGGATTTCCATTTCTCTTTCTATACCAACATATTTCAGGGCATCAGCTTGGCTATACCTAAAAAATAAAGAAAATAATTTGAATTATACTCCGCAAAATTACCAGATAAATGCAGTGAAGAATAATATTAAAAACTCAAGTATATTAACACTGTAGCAACAAGTCACTTCTATTTTTACATCCCATGTGAAGCCATCTCCCTTAGACACTGGGGTCAAAAATATAGTATTCACAACAGGATTCCAAAATATTGAATCCTGCATAACAGATTGTGCATAAACACAAAGGAACTCTGCTCCAGCAGTTCAGAGCTGAATCCACCCCCACACACAGGTTTAGGGCAATACACATCCACCAGCACATCAAGATTTCCAAATAGAGGATTTTCAACTCCACTGCCTATTCTGGAAAGTTTTTAAACAGATCTGTGAAAGGATAAATAGCTTTTTAAAAAACAATGGAAAGTTTAATTCTAAACTAAAATCTAATAAAGTGCAACTTTTTCAAGCACAAATGCCTTTGCTATTTTAACGTGTTTTACAATGTGTGTTTGGATATTTTCAGTCTGGAAAAATTTAGAGCAACATTAAATTATTTTTTGTTTAAAGCCAGAACAGTAAATTCCTATGAACTTTGACATTCAGATGGGCCATTTACCAAAAATCAAATAGCAACTTTTTGAAAGAATGGTTATAAAAAAATGTAACTACTGCAGTTTTATATTTTCAGGTAGCTCCCCCACTTGTGAGATTAAATTACGACACAGAGCTTTCTGTAGGCCCAAGATCAGTAGTCGCCAGACAGCCAGTGTTTTACCTGCATGGGTGCATTTGTGGATCCTTAAGTTCTTCGATCTCGTGAAAACTTTTGCTGCAGGTTGTGTACATTTGGAGTCGGGGAAGGTGAGCAGGAGGTGGGTCGAGGAACCAGCGCACTAGGTTTCACTATAATTCAAATTTGCCACCTAACTTGGAAAAGTAGAGTTTTATTAAGAAAGAACACAACGTAACCATTAAGGCACTTTAAATGAAGTCAGTGAAGCTAAACACGTTTTACTTTGAGAAACATTTCTGATAATAAAAAGTAAAACCGGTGCAGATTCATTGACATTCCTTAAGCACTTTAATGCTTTTGTTGGAGTCTTTCAAACTCATACGTTTTCCACATTAGTTGGCAAACGCAAATTATATGGGATGTTGTGCACTTGTCTCGCCGACCCTGCCCCAGCCTAATATTACAAAGTCAATCAGTTTGTCTGCTGAATTTCACAGATTATGTGAAAAATGCACATCTTAATCATGGGGTATCTCGCATTACATTCTAATAACCAGAAGGTGAATAAAACTACAGAATTAATCACCTGTTGAATTTTTAAATTGCATTAAAGATTTTATTTTTCCAATTAACTGTTGTGCAACACCAGGACATTCATACCTGTAGTCAAAGAATAACTCTTCTCCAGTCTGGATTGCTCTTTTAGCAAAAATGCCTATTCGGTGGTCTCCATTAACCATCATTACTAAATCAAAGAAAAATGAGATCTGTATGTTTATGCTTCATTAAGGGTACTTTTGATTTGCAAACCTTGTTCATGGACACAGTAACAAATCCGTGAATGAGAATCTTATCTCATTAAACAGTAGAATCCTGAAGGAATTCTAAATTTGCTGTAAATCAACTAACATAACATGGCCAACAGAACACGATCTTCGATATATTCTTTCACCATGGGAATATAAAACCAAGTTATCCTATCCTGTTGGGATCACTTGGCTATGCATTTCCCCTGCTGTCCAAACATTTATTATCTGGAATGCTGAGGTCCCTATAACAGTTATAGCTCAATTTGTCTGCCAAGGGAAGGTGGTAAACTTGGTAAAAAGCATTGATTTTTATGCATTTTATTTTTAGATTTACCAGAATTGAAGTGTCTTATCTTAAGCTCACACATATAGAACAGCATGGGTTCCAAAGTGGATGTAGGTTGGCATAAACTTAACACATGTGCAAAGTTGCACGCAAGGTTGCTGCACCAATCCCAGCAATTTTGAACATATGTACCCACAAGTTTTATTTTGCCAGTATTCAGAAGGGGTGATGGTAGGGAGAGAGAGGGTTGGCGCAGTACTATGGTGACAAAATAACTCTGTAGCCAATTTGCATTTTACAGTTTGCTTAACCACAAAAGCTCCCAATTAGTGCAGATAATCAGTTCTACTGGAGTAAATCAAAGCCCATATAACACCCAAAAGATGGAATGTCTTGCGGGGAAGGAATATAACCTGGCAGATAATATCAGACCTTGAATAACACCCGAGCCACTGAGGCTCCGGCCTGCTTCATTCCCCCACTTTTCCCACCCCACCATTGGTGGGCAGGCCTTCAGTCTCTGCCCTCACCCTCTGGAACTGCATCCCACAATCCCTGCACCTTGCCCCCACCCTTCCCTCCTTCAAGACCCTCTTCTTCAACCATGCAAACTTCAGTCACCCTCCTCACCCTCCACCCCTCCTGGTCCCAATCATTATCTCGGATGCAGATTCCTGACTGTCCAGCACCTTGGAACCTCCTCCTGAGGTGAAAGGCGCTATACAAATGCAATTTGTTGTATGTAGGTTTCGCATTGTTTAGCTGTAAAGGTTTTGGAACTGAGCCATAGGGTTCAGGATAATCACCATTAAGAAGTGGGAATCTACAGTGAATCAGAGCATCAAAGTCTATCAAGGCTCGGTGTACAGGGTGTATTCTGAGCCTGTTGTCAAGGTTCAAACACCCCCCCAACAGATCAAAAAAATCTGGATCCTCTAAACTTCTAGGGTATATCAAATCACCAATACCATAAATGGTGAGGAGGTGGTATTATGAAATTCAATTCATGGTAATAACTTAACTGTACAAAGACAGGTAGCCCAGGCTAGTGGAGATTTACACAGCTAGTATGAATGCAAAAAGAGGGACTGTCTTACATTTTCCCTCTGTTCGGAAGATTAGCTTTTCGCATGGAAATTTAACTAAAATGAGAAATACAGCAACTCAAAATGGAGTGTTCTAAATCGAACTACATAAGGCTACCACCTAGAGTTTAAACTTAAATGTTTTTCCAACACATCTTTCATTGGTATGAAATAATACAAAAATGAGTTAAACACCACCTGTTCATTTGTGGGTTCAAACCCAATCCAACCTAACAAACAACAAAGAAATTAGAAACCAGAACTGAAATAGGGAAGTTCTTGTGAGATTGAGGCATATTATTGATACAAAGTGAACTCTTTCATGGTTTAAAGCTCTCTCCGGGTTGCCCCAATAATATGCCTCAATCCCATTCTCACAAGAACTTCCCGACTTCACTTCTGGTTTTCAGATCCTGATTTTTTTTTGAAGTGCGGAAGGAGGTTACAAGCTTCAACAAGCTCAGACACCTAGTCTTGATGGACTTTGAAGCTATGATCAACTGTAGATTCCCCCACTTAATGGTAGTTATTTTGAACCCAATGTCAGATCACTGCAGTTCAGTGCCAAAAATGCCTGTGCCTAAAAGGTTTACAGCACTCACCTCGCAAGCGAGTGCCACCTGGTGCCTAAAAGGTTTCCAAAACCAAACATTGATTCTCAGCTCACCTTCAATGAGCATAAAAATAAAGAACATCTCAAATACTTACCTTTGGCATAACAATTAGGATTGACTGAATGATTTGCAAAACGTATTTTGTTACCCTTGCGTGTTGCATCAACCACAAAGTCTGAAAGAAAAGCATTGGAAAAAGATGTTTCTTTTACACACTTACAGGATAGTGCCTGCAATTTAAATTTTCCTTGAATGCAATTTCATTTAAACGGTTTGTGCGAATTGAGAACTTCCATACCATTATTCAAGTTGAAGAGGAAACTGCACATGTACTTGTCATACACCTTGCCTCGGCGGTCAGCCTCATCCTGAGATATGATCTACAAAAAAAAGGATTTAAAATATTAGTTTTGAAGTATTTTTCCTCATCTTATATGCGTCCTCTTGGCAATGTGATTCGCAGACACAGGTTAAACTTCCACATGTATACGGATGATACACAAATCTACTTTGTCTTCTCCAGCATCGACTCCAGGTCCGCTGATGTTCTACCAGCTTGTCTGGCAGACATCAGGGCCTGGATGAGTGCAAACTTCCTGCAGCTGAATATGGACAAGACGGAAGCCATACTCCTTGGCTCCCGTCAATGTCTTCACTCCCGCGGATCTAAACTCCTGAACCTCCCTGGGCTCTCCCTCGGACTCACTGAACCAGGATGCTATCTAGGCATCTGGTTTGACCCCCAGCTGTCCTTCGTCCCCCACTTTCCATCCCTGACCAGACATCAGCTTGTCTGGCAGACATCCAGCCTTCCGCCACATCCACCACATTGCCTGCCTCTGATCTCACCTTAGCCCAAGTGCAGCCAAAACCCTTGTGCATGCGTTTGTCACCTCCCGCATAGATTACTCAAACGCACTCCGACAGTCTCCCCAGCTCCACTATTCAAAAAATCCATCTCATCTTACACTCCACTTAAAGTACTTATAATAATTCTTGTTTGATAGCACTTTTCACGTCTTCTAGACATCTCAAAGCGCTTCACAGAATATACTGTAAAGTGAATTGTATACTTGTGGGCGAACGGCAGCAGCCAATTGCATAGCAGTGCCCCACAAACAGTCATGGATTGAGTGATCAAATTATTATTAATATTTTTTCTTAGGGATTATTATCCCCAGAAAAGCGATTCGCCAATCGACTAACAACCGGATTCCTACTTACTGATAAGTGAACAGAGGCGAGTGGAGTAAGGAGATCTGCCCAACATTTGGCCCTGCCAAGAATCAAACCCAGGTCTCTCGCTTGCGAGGCGAGTGCTCTAACCACTGAGCTACAAGACTCCACATGTGGCTAAAAGAAATATCCTTCAGAAATAGCATATTGGAATGAGATAATTCCAAAATGAATTAATAACTAATAGTTAAGTAATTGACTTTTTCAACTAACCTCTCCACAGTACTCAGAGATGAATTCGTTTTTCTGCACTGGTTCTTTGATGAAAATCCCCCATCCAGCCACATCAGAGGGTGCCAGCAATAAGTGCTGTTGTGTAGGAATAAAGAAAACAAGAATAAAGCAAAGCACATTTAATTTTACAGTCACTGATGAAATTATCAATTACGTTTTCAAAAACGCTTTGCATTCTATATACAGGGTAAATCAAGTCTTTACGCGTAGGTCAATATGAGATATTCAAACTGCATGCCATGTAGATCTTCACACATCAACTCGGTGACAAAAAAATATTCTGTAATAGCTGTACAATATCTATGAATAGTGTCTTTTAAAAAAACAGTAATAATTAAAAACTGAGTAAGGACTTCTGATTCATCCTGTATAAAAAGTATTATCACAAAGATACAGATTTGCTGCAGTTTAAAAGTGGGATGAATGTACTCAGCATCTCTTCTCTCATCATTTCACTTTGCAGCAGGATTTGCTGATAGCACTATTCAACATGTTTTCACTTCTCAGCACGAGAAACCAGCAAATCTGACTCATTGTAGGGCCATCCCCATCATTCATACCACAAGCAAAATGGTTTTCTTTTTGATAGAGAAACTATGACATTATTTAGGGAAGAAATTTGGACTGAAGCCTCAGAATTATCATGTCCTCTTGTAATACAAAATATCATTCATCACTCTCTCTGAAAATTTGTCTCTGTAAGTGTGCGTCTCACTCTCTGTCTCAGTGTGTGTGTCTCTTTGGGTCTCCGAGTGTGTGCGTGTCTCTCTCTAGGTCTCAGAATGTGCGCGTGTCTCTCTCTAGGTCTCCGATTGTGTGTGTGTCTCTCTGGGTCTCTGACTGTGTGCGAGAATCTCTCTGGGTCTCTGTGCGGTGCAGGCCCCGATCTCCCCTTAGCCTCGTTGGTGTCCGCCCCCACTCCCAAAATGGCAACCCAGTTTTTCTTAAAAAGCAATTCATAATTTTTTTTGCAACAATCTAATGTGTTATTTCCTTATGTTTAGTTTTTTTTAAAAAATCAATAAAGTGAAAAAATGTACCTCAATAATACCAACCAAGCCCTGCAATTTCCCTGCAAAAATTCAGAAAATCCCTCCGCAAGATTCGTAAAGCACTCCGCATTTTTTTTTGTGCGGCAAAAACGTCCGTACTTTTCTATTAGCCCAGATTATTACCCACAGAAAGCAATCTGCCAATCGACTAACAACTGGGTTCCTACTTATTGCTGGGTGAACAGAGGCGTGTGCAGTAAGGAAACTTGCCTAAGGGAATCAAGCCCAGGTCCTCTCGTTTGCAAGGTGAGCGCGCTACCACTCCTCTACGACACTGCACAATTATCACCAATCATACCAACATGGTGCAAGTTACACAAAAATGCACAAAGTATTCAGGACTATATCAATATCACCTTTTTGGACCCTCTCTGAATGCTGCAGTTTTTACAGGAGACGTTCTTACTGTCCCAGTGGTCAGCGGCTCCACAGGTTTGGCATAGGTCTGGATCACATTCACGCACCGCAAGATAGCAAGGGCACTGCTTGGTATTGCACTGAGCCTTGCAACGGCAGCCAGGAAATCTGTTCTGACCTGGTGAAGGAAGATTATATTGTACTGACGACTTTAATGTAGCATTTAAAGCTACAAAGATTATTGGCATTTTGCCCCACGATATTACTGTATTCATTCACCAGCTAATATTCATAATAAAAAAATATTTATGAGTTGAATATACAGAAGTAAGAAATTCAAATACAAATAGAAAAAAATGCATCAAATGTGCATCTAAAACATCCAGGATTTGCAGTTAAAAGTCAATATACAATGTCAACACAATATATAATCATGCGACCCTGCAGTTCCCCCCCACACTATACGTGGTATCCATAAAAACCCCAAACCACCTTAGAGAAAGACACGACTTAAACCCCAATCATATGACCAGGTCCTGTGCCACAGCTGAAGAACAATTAACAGGGTTACACTGAAGTCTGTTTATTTTATAGACCTACATCACCCAAACCTTAAAGGAAACACAAAGATAACAAGAAGGAATTGCAGTAGAGCACTACATATTCACTACTCAGATAATGACATATCTGCAGCAGGATTGAAATCCTGGAAGTTAAGCAAAAATCTTTTTATTGTGCACATTGTACCTAATGGGAAGTTTTAGTCAAGCCAAATTTAAAGTAGCAACATGAGGATTTGCTCATTCAATGTTATATTGTGTGAGTCAGAGAAAAAGAGCTGGCACATTGCAATAACAGTATAACTGCTGATTATAAAGGGGAGAATATTAAAAAAATCTTTTAACCCCTGACGGTTGGAATGTAGAATTATGTATCATAAACTGATGTCTGCCCATAAATTTTAAAAGGGAAATTAGATAAATATTTGAAAAAGAGAATTTAGTGTATGGACAACAAGTATGAAAATGGAATTAAATCATGTGGTCATGTGAAGAAAAACACCAGCAGACCTGATGGGCCAAATGGACCATTCCTGTGCTGCACAATTCTTCTATTCTCAACATAAACTGAGTACAGCCTGAAGACCTATTTGTTTAAAGCTACTTGGAAAAGCTACATTGATCAATGATGGCGAGAACGCTGTTGTATCCAGGGATTGTGGTCATCGTTGGCCAAACGCAACATCAAATCTTCCAGACAATAATGACTCCAGAAATGTTATTCAAATGATACTGCTATATTATACTTACACTCAGAGCTGCACTGACAGAACTTTTCACAGAAATTTTGAGCCATGACACAAGGACAAGAGCTGTCACAGGGCTGACGTGGGTGGTCACAAGGCTGGTAGTTGTAAACATGATTTGATGAACCATCTAGATAAAGCATCCAAAAAGCAGTCAATAAACTGACGAGCAAAAAACAAAATGGATTGCTTCAGGTTTTTTTATGGATAGCATTATACTGCGTGAGAAAGTCAAAACACTAACCTTTTTTTAATTGTATCTTTCTGCAATGTGCAGCCCACAATCTGAAACAGACAATTACAATATACTGATGAGAAATAATAAATGAAAATAACCATAGTATCTCAAAACATAACAATCCACCCTCACCTCTGACGTATCGTCCTTCTCCTCCAAGATAATCTTGGAGGCGAAGGACAACCCCGGGCTCCTATTCTCCACCACCAACCGGCTCCAGCGTCCACCTTCCCACGCCCATTCTCTCCTCAAGCTCTGACTGAGAAGATGCTGGATTTTCTTGAGTCCAAACTCAAGGGTATCCAATCAGCTGCCTCTGGCCTTCCAACTGCCTCTCCCTCCCCATCTTTCCCCTCCACACTCCGACTGCTACCCATCCCTCCTTCCACATCTTCAAACCAGTCTCCTCCTCCTCTCTCATCACTACCATAACCAGCATGAAACACACCACCTGCTCCCTTGACCCCATCTCCACCCCTTTCCTTACCTCCCAGCTCCACCTCTTTGCCCCTCTGCTATCCGACACCATCAAACTCTCCCTATCACCTGGCACCGTTCTCATCCCCCTAAAAACAGCTATGATCACCCCCATCCTGAAGAAACCTACCCTGGACCCATCCCTGTTTTCTAACTACCGGTCCATCTCCAACCTCCCTTTACTTTCCAAGGTCCTTGAAAGAGCCGTTGCTTCCCAGCTTCGCTCCTTCCTCTCCTACCACTCCTTTCACGAGCCCCTCCAATCGGATTTCCGTGCTGTTCAAAGAACGGAAACTGCTCTGGTCAAGGTGACAAACGATACCCTGTCCATCTGTGACCAGTGATCTCTGCTGCCTTCGATACTGTGGACCACTCCACCCTCGACAACTGACATCGTGACAGATTGTCTGTCAGACATTAAGTCCTGGATGAGAGCCAATTTTCTACAGCTGAACGTCAGCAAGACCGAGACCCTTCTGATTGGCTCACACCAGCGCCTCAGACACTGGCAGCATCCGCAGTCTCGGTTGCACAATCCACCTCACCAAGCCATTCGGGAACCTGGGTGTCTTGTTCAATCCTCAACTATCCTTTCCCCCCCATATCCGTGCCATAATCCACTCTGCCTTCCCCCACCTCTGCAACATTGCCCGACTCCGCTACTGCCTCACCCCTCAGGCCACCTGCTTTCTGCCTCTTTGCCTCCACCCATTGGAACTCCATCCCACAATCCCTTTGCCTTGCTCTCTCAAGACATGACTCAAGATCTTCCTTTTCGACCGTGTCTTCAGCCACCTTCCTACCTCTCTGCCTCCCTCATCCCAAGCCTGCCCTTCCCCCCCAACCCACCCTTGGGTCCTAATCTCTGACTGGTCAGCACCTTGGGCCATACTCCCGATGAACGCATGGACGAGTGTTTCGGCTACGTCTGGATGAAAGTACTGTTGGAGGCGGGCAATATGGCGGAGGTGGAGGAAGGCGGTCCTGGTCAGGGACTGGATGTGGGGAAGGAAGGACAGCTGTGGTCGAACCTGATGCCTACATTGCGCACTGGTTCAGTAAGTCTGAGGGCCGAGGAAGTTGAGGAGGTCAGAGCTACAGGATAGAAGAAGTTGACGGAAGCCAATGAGTATGGCTTCCGTTTTGTCAACACTGAGTTGTAGATATGTTTTAATGACTTAATAAAGCATGGACCAAATGCAAGAATTATTATGATTCCATATGCACATTATGTCAACTATCATATTGCAAATGAATTATTCAGTGGTAAGAAACTAAGCTTACAGGATTTAAAGTGCTTCAAGACATTATCCTACATGCAAAGTATTGTTGCAGGGCGAGAGAAAGGATAGGTTTGATGATTTGCAACAATTTAAGTCCTTGCACATAAAATACACCTCCAAATCTTGGTCAATATTAAAGGACTGTATTAATGAAACTAAATGCTTTTGGAATAGATTTGTAAACTTTCTGAAGTCCCATTAATCCAATTTGAGGTAATTATATGAACCATGGACAGTCATAACATTCTGTAGTATTTGGTTGGAGTCTATATGTGGCAGACGACTGGAAACTACAACTGCAAAACAAACTTTAACACACTGAATAGCTCTCAGTAATTTATTCCAAGTATCGAATATTGTATGTGTAATAAAGAGAGAACGCTTACCTGTGCTTTCGCTTCTTCTTCCTTGGTGGTGTATCGGCATCCTCTGCAGGGACACGGGCAATGATATTAGACTCCTTCACAGCAAACTCATACACCTGAAGAAGATTAGAGGCAGTTTAAATACTGCTTGAATATGAAATGCAATTCTAAACAAAACATACACAAACTTCAGTTCTCAGAAACAGAGTACACCATTTCAAAGGCAATAACTTGATTAACAACAATGCTAAACCATAACCAAGGGGTGTATTCTGGCTTTGGTGTAAATTTACATGCCATGTGAACTTTGATATACACGTGTGTGGAAAATAGGAAGTTAATACAACAACTTGCATTTATGCAGCACCCCACTTCCAGAGTAGCATCCCAGAGTGCTTGACGACAGCGGAGCACGACACTGAGCTGGGGGAGGTGACCATGAGCACAGTCGAAGAGAACCACCTTCATGCGTACAACCTGAAGATGGGGAAGTGGGGGCAAGGCGGAGGGATTCGGGGAGCATTCCAGTTTTGGGACATAGTGGCTGAAAGCGCAGCCTCCAATGGTGCAATGGAGGGTCAAGTAGGAGGCCGGAGTCAAGTCGAGCGGAAGCAACAGGTAGTTGGCTGGGGAGTACGCAGGTCGAGGAGGTAAGAAGGTGCTCGGGCATGAAGGTATTTGAAGACGAGTGTGAGGAACCTGAAATCGATCCATTCAGTGATAGGGAGACAATTGAGTCTAGCAAGAACTGGCGTGATGGGGGCACGGAGTTTGAGAGTGACTATGCGGGTGGCGGAATTTTGGATTAACTGGATTTTGTGAGTAGTGGAGTTGGGGAGACCGGCGAGGAGGGCTTTTGAGTAGTCGAGGCGGGAAATGACGAACACTTGGATGAGGGTTTCGGCTGCGTTTGGCGGATATCACACATGTTCTCACCCACACCCTCATGCCCCTATCCTAGTTCTCATCAGATTCCACTATCTCCCAATGAATAGACTTCAAGGTCCTCATCTATAGATAAATCCCTTCACATTCTGACATCCCAATCACCAAGCCCACTCTTCTGCTTATCCCCTCCATTTGGCTCCTACAGGCTTGCTGCGCGTCCCTTGCCACTCCCTGCCACCAATCTTCAGAACATCTCTCTCTATCCCTCCACTTTGCTCCCTCTATCAGTCATTAAACCCTGCTNAAAAAATATATTTTGATCACTCTACTATCACTCATTCTTCCCTCCAAGATGTGAAGGGCACTATTTAAATGCAAATTGTTGTTAACTTACTCAGTGTGGAGCATTAATTGTTCACAAATATTAAGTAATCAATTAAAGCAAAGTGAGGGCTACATTTTTAAACCAACTCTTTTCACATCATAACTGTCATTACTCAGCCCCCACATCCAGTATGTTGAAAATAAACCCCCCAGCCAATGAGTGGTATATTTGGAGTAGTAAACAATAGCAATGACTGCATCATTCTAATTGTATAGTTTATATAGTAATAAAACAAGAACAGGCTGTGAGATAGTTTTGAGCTCCACACCCAGGTGATTTAACATACTTTGCTGGATTCTGTAATGGTCATGCCAACGGTAATAACACTTGCATTTTGATATAGCATCTTTCACATCTTCTAGACGTCTCAAAGCGCTTCACAGAATATACTGTAAAGTGAATTGACTACATTTGTGGACGAAATGCGGCAGCCAATTGCACACAGTAGTAGGATAAATACGAAATGCATTTAATTTTTCTGTTCCTGGATCCTTCGTGGTACCATGTATTAACATTTGCAGAAACCATACACACACAGTATATAAAATAGTATATTGCAGTTTTTGATCAGTTCCATTCTTCCTCTCAACACACACACATTAACAAATAGTCATACCAAATAGAAAGTTTATAATAGGTATTTGGCATCAAAGTTTCCAATGTGGTGTAAAGCTTACAGAACTAATGCAAATGTAGCATTTAAACACCAAAATTTGCATTCCCTCAAATCCCAGATGGTGTGCAACAGCAGGAAGAAAATCTTGATCGTCAATGCCAAATGTATAAGTGCGCATCATGCCACCTGGGGCTTACTTGCCATCTGTTGTGCCCAGTCAGACAACTACTATAGTTTAGATATTTACTAATCTGGGATATGTTATAAAACACTGGTGGTCGACCCTACCTGATCCTCCATTCTATTCCCACGGAATCCAAAACTAGAGAGGAAGGAATGGCCCTTTTTGCCGTGTCAGTCCCTTCTGCTAACGGCCTACCATCAGCAATGACACTATATACCCTGTTATAGAAAAATAATCCTAAAATCCTTGCATTTGGTATAGCACCTCTCACAATGGGAGAATATCTTAAAGTGATTCAACAAATTACATTTCTATAGCGCCTTTCACATCAGGAGACCTAAGGCGGTCACAGGATTTATTGTGAAGTGACTATTTGTAGGCAGATGTGGCAGCTCAACTGTGCACAGCAATCATCCACAGAGAGCCAAAAAAGAATGATCAATTTTATTTGGGGGATTGTTGGCCAGGACAAGTTGCATTTGTGGGAAAACCATGTCACAATAGATATTGAATTATGATAAAAGTAGAAAACCACTCATCATTCACTTTGGGATGTCCTCCTGATGTGTAAGGTACTATGTAAATTTATTGTATTAAAGTTACCATTAACTAATCAATATTCACGTGCTCTGCTTTTACCTGTCTACATGTTTTGGTTCCTAACAACTTGGCAATGGCACAGAAGTTATTGTAGTAAGTGCCATGTAGAACTCTAAAGAGTGAGGCTTCAGCTCCACTCCACTCCACATCAGAGAGATCTGCAGTCAGTTTCATCTTAACAGGGGTTTGACATCTGGAGTTTGCCTCTAAATGGAAAAAAAATGGCCATAGTTAATAACACAAGCACAGTGGATTAGAAATATTTACAACAGGAATGAATCAATAGGGGGAAAAACAAATCAATTTTAGTCGTTATTTCCATACATTCACATTTAGTGCTTGGCTGAAACATATGGGGCAGTGAGTCATCTGTGGGAATGAAAGGCACATAACTTAAGACAAACCTACTCCATTTTATGGAAAAAATAGTAAGTATCTTTGTGTTGTTCGGCTTTAAATCAAATGAAAATATCACCAAAAAGTGCAGAATTATTGAAAAATAAGCTCGGAAGAACAGAGTAACCAGCAGATAAATCAATGTAAAGACCAAGATTTGTAAAACAACAACAACAAAATTACATTTGTATAGCGCTTTGCACATTGGGAGGTCATCCCAAAGCACTGGACAATCAGTGTTTCGGACCCAAGCTGGGAGTCGGGTTCAGGGAGGGTGCAGAGCAGGAGGGGAGGGATGGTGACCGAAGATACAGTCAAAGAGGAGGGTCTTGAGACAGATCTTGAAGGAGGCACGGGAGGGGGCGAGATGGCGGGACTGCGCGATAGTGTTCCAGAGGCTGGGGGACAGTGGCAGAAAGCCCACCCACCAATGGAGGTGTTTTGGACATAAAGCAGGCCAAAGCCTGCTGAGCAGAGGGAACAGGTAGGTTGGTAGGGGGTTAGAAGGTCACAGAGGTAGGGGGGGATCAAGGCCATGGAGGGCTCTGAAGATGAGGACCAGGATCTTGAACTGTATCCTGTGTCATGGGAAGCTAGTAGTTGGGCAAGGATGGGGGTGATGGGGTTTGCGGAGCCTGGTGTGGGAGAGGACACAAGCTGCAGAGTTCTGGATGATCTGCAGCCTAGAGGGAGGACGACAAGCAGGGAACTTGTGTAGTCGAGTCTGGATGTTATGAATGCATGTATGAGGGTATCAGCGGCCTGCAGTGTGAGACAGTGTCAGAGCCGGGCGATGTTGCAGAGGTGGGAGAAGGCAGAGCGGGTCATGGCACGGATGTGGGGTTGAAAGAATAGTTGATTGTAAAACAAGACCCCAAGGTTCTGGACTGGCTTAGTGAGGTGGAGTGTGCATCCCTGGATGGTAATGCTGTCAGCGCCTGAGGTGAGGAGACGCCGACAGGAGCCAATCAGGAGAGCCTCGGTCTTGTTGATGTTCAACTGAAGAAAGTTAGCACTCCTCTCAGCACAGCAGTGGTTCTGGAGTCCAGAGTGGAGGCAAAGAGGTACAGTTGGGTGTCATACGTGTGGAAATTGACCCCATGTCAATGTGTATATGTACCCCTAGGTCCCTTTGCTCCTCTACCCCATTTAGGTTTTTATTTTCCAGGATGAATGTGACTTTTTCATTCTTTCTACCAAAATCTACCACCTCACATGTTTCTACATTGAAATGCATTTGCCATTTAAATGCTCATTCAGCAAGTTTATTAATGTTTTGCTGTAATTTGTTGCAGTCCTCCTCTGTATTAACTACTCCCCCCAATTTGGTGTCATCTGCAAATTTTAGAATTGTACTGGTGATTTCCGAGTCCAAATCATTAATGTATATTGTGAACAACAGTGGTCCCAATACCGATCCTTGTGGAACACCACTGCCCAACGCCTGCCAGGCTGAATTGCTACCCTGTTTTCTCTTTTGCAGCCAGCTTGCTTTCCATTATGCTATTTTGCCCCTACTCCACATGCATTAGTCGATTGGTAACTTATCAAATGCTTTTTCGGAATCTAAATATATTACATCTTCCACATTACCCTTGTCTGCTCTTTCTGTTACCCCTTCAAAGAATTCATTGAGGTTGGTCAAGCATGACCTTCCTTTTTGAAATCCGTGCCGACTATTCTTTGTTTTCCGATTCTAGATGTTTTTCGATTACCTCCTTCAGTAAGGATTCCATTATCTTTCCTACCACCGATGTTAAGCTGACAGGTCTATAGTTCCCTGGGCTTGTTCTATCTCTTTTTAAATATAGGTATAACATTAGCTATCCTCCAGTCCTCTGGCACTATTCCCTTTTCTTATGAGTTATTATATGTGTAATAATGCCTCTGCGATCTCTTCCCTCGATTCTTTTAATATACGCGGATGCAATCCATCTGGACCAGGGTTTTTAATCCTCTGAGTTCCGTTAGTTTTTCGATAATATCTCCCGCTTCTATCTCAAATGTATTTATTATATTGTCATGTCCACCTGATCCGTCACCCTGGTGAATACTGAGGCAAAGTAATTATTGTAAGTAATAATGTAGGAATGACACTATACTGAGATGTTTTATTTATACAAGTCAATGAAAGCTCCAGTCAAGAAAACGCAGTTATTAAAAACCTAATAAATTACATTTTAAGGGCATAGGATTACAAGTCAAAATAAATTATTCCAATAAATTATTAATTAGCCTACAAAATGCACATTCACTATACTTTACAATGAAATCTTATGAAGCGCTTTGATATGTCCTCTTGACTTGAAGTTATATTAAATGCAAGGATAATATTCTAGTCTAGTTCACTAGTATTAGTCTGTTTGCCTAGCAGTAAGTAGGAACCCGGCTGTTAGTCAATTGGCGGATCACTTTTCCGGTGGGAAGAATCTCTCCAAAAAGTAAATAAAAATTAAAAAATTATTTGGTCACTCAATCCACGACTGTTTGTGGGACACTGCTGTGCGCAATTGGCTGCTGCGTTTCGCCCACAAAATATACAGTCAATTCACTTTACAATATATTCTGAAGCGCTTTGAGAAGTCTCAACAACGTGATAAAGCGCTATATCTAGTGCCTTGGGATGTCCTCCCGACATGAAAGGCACTATCCAAATGTAATTTTGTTGTTGTATACCAAATGCAGGATTATTATTATAGTAAAGCACATTTACAGTATGCAATTTGAGATTCCCAGCTTTTGAGGGAGTGGTGGTCGCATCATAGAAAAATGAACACAATTGTGGGAATTAGAACTCTAATTAATGAGGAGCCTCATAACAAATCTGATTTCCATTGGAGGAAAAAAAAGGAAGGGGAGGAAATACATAAGCCAGAGCTTTAAAATGCCAAGGAGGCATTTGATGGAGAACTCAAGAACCTCAAATTTGAAACTTTCTTTACATCCTCCCTTCTGCTTCATTTTCAATCTTAAAAAATTAAAAATAAATCTGCTTAAAAAAATTATTGCTCTCCGGACTTAATTTTGCAGTTTAGAATTGAGTTTTTTGCCAATTGACTTAACTCTAAGGGGTCATGTCACCATTAATGAATCAAGTCCAAATTTATCAGATTTTTAAACAAAAAGTTTCAAATTTTACAAAGATTTATGCAAATAGCACAAAAATTGTGTATTTTCTCCAAGAATACAAATTACACATTTTAGCAAATACAAAACACAATTAAATGAGGGAAAAATAAAGATAAAGTAGCAAGAAGATACGCAAAGCAGTGAATCCTCCACTCTACCATCAGCAGCAGTGCCTTCAACCAATACGCCCCGAAGCTATGGAACTCCCTCCCTTAATCCCTTCGCCTTGCTCCCTCTTTCCCCTCTCCCTCTTTTCAGGTTGCCCTGAAGACCTGCCTCGTCTCACTTTACTCCTCCCTCTGGCTCGTCATCGGGCTATATAATTGCAAGTTGTTGTTGTTGAATCTAAGCAATGGTAATAAATACTATATTATGGTATCATAATTTTCTGTATGCAGGCACACAATATTAAATTCTCTCAGCAACTGCACAGTGTGCACTCAAAGGAAATTAAGCATGATGTACAGGGAAGGCTTTCTTTGGTCAGTTGGGTGTCTAATACATGCAGAAAACCATCACCACGCTTATGATCCAAACTGAGTTCCATGGACCCATCCCACCTACACATGGAAATTCCAGAGATGTTTTTTTGGAATGGAATGCACTCTCTCCCTGGAGGGATGCATCCTACTTACATAATTCCAGGATTAGGTGCAAGTTATTAAGAGTCAAGGTCTGGGGACACCAGAATGTGTGTTGGGGTACTGCTGGAGTCTAACCACCTACAAACAAATAGCTGGTCATTGAAAAGATTGTCTGGCAAGCTTTCCCACTGCTTGTCCAGCTAGAACACACTACTGATTAGGGCTTTCATTTGAAAGGAGTAGGAAGAATCCCTGCCCCCAGTAATTGGATTTGCCCTTCCAGGTACTGCCGATGAGGCAGCCTGGCTGTGCTGTCATCAGCAGTGCCCTGGACTGCTGCAGACTCACTTGGCTCAAGAAATGGACTACCAAGACCACCATAGAGGGTAGTCTTGATTCTGATTTCCATTGCCAAACAAGTCACATTAGAACCAGTTCTTAGCTTTATTACAAACACAACTTTCTAAAATAATTTTCAGTTTCCCTTACCAGATGAGCTGGTGGTATCATCCTTCTTGTCCTCTTCATCTTTGTCATTTATCTCCCCTCCAGTATCTGTCCCAGCCTCTCTGTCACTATCTGTATCTTTAGCCTCAGATAGGTTTATTGTTGGTGTACTGGGTCGACTTGTGCTGTTCGGGTGACGACCTCTTCTTCGGCCTCCTGGGCGCTTTGGTGGTGTTTTTATTCGCTCAGCTGTCAAGGCAACAGCAAAGTCCTTTGCTCCATCCTAAAAAAGTGTTACCGTACAAGAGTCTAAAGCTGCTTTTTTGAGATGTGTAGATCAAGGCAGCTGTGGATTCCTGTCCACTCAAAACTAAACTAGGCCTATACAACCTTACATAAAGATACACTATGGAATATTAGAACACAAGCTTACTTTGGTATTGACCAGACTTGCCCTAAAGAAGGCAGGGGAATAAGTATCTTCCTAAGTCATTCTTGCAAACCACCGAAAGGCGGAAACCTGGCAGCCAGGCTGATTAAGCTGAAAAATTTAACAAAATAGTTCTTGGTCATCTATAATTTTTTAAAAAGAAAAGCTATTGTCACAATTGAGATTTAATTTAAAACAGCACAGTACATTGTCAATGATAACTAAAACAGGTAATTAATAGGAATTATCAAGAAAAATAAATCAATCTGCAATCACATGGAATGCCTATTTTTGGAATGGAAATAATTTTTTGTACAATTATAAAACTCTCACATTCACACACTCAAATCTCAAAAAACAAATTCACTTTTGTACCTTTTCAGCCTCATGGAAGTTACCAATTTTGTCTTTACTACTGAACCTGCTGAGAAGCGGAATGTACTCTCCAAAGGCATACAATGGAACATTTTTCATACCAATTATGCATTTTGTATTGGTATCAAATCAGATAATTTTTGGTGCTCATCAATTCACTGGAAATGAAATTAAGAATGCACAATTTAATTCCACTGACCCTTAAGTGACAGTAGACTACCAATTTATGCCTGGAATAAATTCAAATCATAGACAAGTGATCTAATCCACAGAAACATTATTTAAACACACCAGTAGAATTGCAAATTTTGAAGTTAACTCTTTTTTTCCCTACTGTATTGAAATCCCCTTCAGTACCAAGCGGAGTCAGATGGCAAAATCTCCTACCAGATATAAACAGCAATCTGATCCACAGTGTTCTGTTTCTGCTCTGGTCTCCGGATTCTTACGTTTGTATGTATTTGGAGTAGCATGGAAAGCTGTGCCAAAAGGACAAAATGAAATTAGCACAAGTTCCATATGATTTTTCTGGATTAGAGCTACTTCAAACAATCTTCATTCTATGTTTAATCCATTCTTTGCTCTAAACCCTCTCAGTAATTTGGACAAAAACTTGTAAATTTTTTAGTTTGTTTCAATAAAAGGCAGACAATGGATAACTGCCTGCACTGAAAGATGAAAAGTAAATTTGAATGATATTGCTCAGTTTCTTTAATGAAGCAAGTCCAAGTTAGACGAGCAGGACTAGAGTACGAGAAGATCAGTATCTTATTTACTCTTTAAACAGTTTAATTTTTGTATCCTGGTTATTCATAACAATAAGAGTAAAATGACTATACAAGAAACATGACTGGCATCTCCTCAACTATTTTGAGTATTTCAAACACTTAGTAAAGTTAAAAATACCACATAAGCAATAATTTTCAACACGACAATTATACTCACGATGTAAGAAACAATCATATTTGAAGCAACGTCTGCAGAAGAGCGTGTGGAAAGAATGCAAGCTTTGTTCTCTTTGAACAGATTTAGCATTTGGTCCATCAATGTTTGGTGTGCATTCTGGAGGAAGTGCTCCGGGAAGTTGTTGTTCTGTCAGCTCTTTATACCTTAAATAGGTTTTGAAAAGGTTAGATTCTTTCTCTGTGTGTACTTATTCTTCCAGTGGAAGCATAACTCTTGAGAAATCAGAACACCAAACCACAATTTTTTCCACACTATATAATGGAATCTCCCAGAAAGAAGACAAAATATGAACTAATATTACTTCCTCCACCCCAGGTGGCATCCTAGAGCACTGAAACAAACATACACAGGAACACCCACAATCACAGAGGGAGATACAGACCTACACACCGATACTCACAAACGGAGAGACAGACAACCCTACACAGACACATAAACACAATTAGACAATTACAACAGCGGGCCTCCAAGTGAAGCCCATTTGCCGCTTGCGCCGCACTGCGCATGTGCATGCGGAGCCGCTCCACAGTGACATCAGGTAAACAGCAGGGAGGTCCACGGGCCAGAAACTACATTTATAGCGGTTCCGCGGTAAAAGTGCAGCCGCACTTTTCTATTAGCCCAGAACGTGTCCCATTGAAGTCAGTCCATATGGCATTCAAAACTAGATTGGCCTTTGTAATTAACCAATTGTTTAATATCCCTCCATACAAGCACCAGATATAAATTTCATAGAACAGAAGCAATTGAGAAGACTTAGGAGAATTTTGTTCTGTCTACTCGTTACACAAAAGCCAATTTAGCATTCATGTTTTAATTTGTGCAGGGAAAACAGATGATTGTAATTTTTTTTGCTTCTGGGATAAAGTCAGTGAAGCATTTGATCATGATACTGTAGTTGAACAGCACTATCGAAAACAAATTCTTAAGACTTTTCTGGCCAAAACCAATAATCGTGAGTACACATGATTTGATTTCAAAGTATCAATTCTAAAGATGACCACACAAAATCAAGAGCACATTTAAATGCAAAGGAGGCATTAGATGGAAGCTTGATATAGATCTTGCATTTCTAAAATGTTGCAATATCTCAGAGTTTCACAAATAATTTACAGTCAAGTGATGATTTTTTTAAAGATAAGATTGCAAACCAACTTCCATTCCCCACCATTTTGTTTACTGATCAGCTCAATTAAATATCAGTTTATTTATTTCAATTTCAAGTAGTCTCCAATCTTGCACAAAAAAGGAAATCTTTAATTACATGGAGATTTAACTTACTTTTCTTTCAGCTCCTCTGGTGTACCTTTATCTGGGAACATAGATGAAATTGCTTCAAAGATCTTGTCACAGGGCATTTTTTTCCCTTCTTCACTCTCTTTACCTATAGCCAAAGAGCAATAATTGTAAATAAACACAATAGAGTTAAGAGTGCATCATCTAATTGGTAATAGAAATACAGAAATTGTCACAACCAAACCAACAAAGTCAGTTAACATCAGAATAATGATCAAAACACATTTATACACAAACATTGAATATGTTAAAAAAAATTGTAATATTTGGCACATGCAAATTTCCCCATGTGTGAATAAGAATGTGCAGTCTCTCCGAGTGGTATTCCAGAATGTATTAGGTGCAGGTTGGCTAGAGCCGTACCTTGTGCACCAGTAGAGTTCCTACTGTGTGCACCAATACAAATCAACCAGCTGAAACTGCATCACTTGCAATCGAGAGCACTAGCTGGCCAGCTTTTAACTGCTTTAGGCCAGTTAAATTCTCTAGACGGACTAAAATCCTATCTTAAATATCTTCCACTTTGTGGAAGTGGAATTTCGCCCACAAAATATGCAGTCTGTTCACTTTATAGTATACTCTATGATAAGGCACTATATCAAATGCAAGGATTGTTATAACTATTATCTTTCCAGGTCTTCATGAATTGAATAGGTTCCAAAAAATAAAATTCTACTACTATACATCACTTTGGAGCCACCTCAGCTCCAAGGAGAGGCTTCTTACCCCAAGAACAGCCAAAACAACAAATATGAAACTACATTCCTCAAATATTTTAACATACTCTGAAAGGTCAGAGGAAGTAGGAATGTGTCTCTGCTAAACAGAAACTTAAAATATTTCCAAAAGCTGATGAAGGATAAAAGTGGAAGCCCGACAAAGCAGCTAGTTTCCATGAGAGTACTTCTTTAGGTTACAAAAGGTTAAATTTATACAGCACTTTGCTCCACCAAGGAACGACCCAAGAATCAATTCTCTGTTGCTGGACTAAACACTGCAGGAAAATAATGGATGCCAGTAGCAATGCACAATATTTATTCTTAGTCAGAACTTCTAAATGGACCTCCAAAACACATAAGTATGTTCAGCGTACAAATGTGCACAATGTAATATTTGCAGTGACAAGTTAAATTGTCCAGAGAGCCATCCTGCCACATCCATGATTCTGTTTGATGAAAATTTTATTTACCTCATAACCTAAGGGCAATAGGTTTAACATACCTTTTGATTGTTTGCTAACATTTATTGTGAATTCACTTTACATTATCGAATCTCTAAGGTAATGAAGCAGTGTAAAATTTGGTTAGCTGCCATTATTAGAAAGGCAATGGTTTCATTGTTTAATTGCCACCATACTAAAAAGTCAGGAACACCAAAACATACAAAGCTCCTCACCATCCATACTGATATCCTGATAGTCTTTTCTTGCTTCATTGCTTTCTTCTTTGATGTCACTCCCATCAGTCTTCTCAGATTTATTCTCCTGATCTTCATCATCATCTTCATCCTCTTCATCATTATCACTGTACTGAGTCAGAGCATTAACCAGCTCTACAAAGATCTCATCATTGATAAAGCCGCATTCTGCAATATTCAAATGATTATGCAATGATCATTCCATTTATAGCAGACTTGAAGTAACCTTTAGATTTTTAAATGACCCGATCTTGGTGCCACTTTTTGGTTGATTTTCTCACTGGCTATTTACTTCAACACTGCAAACCGCAACATTTACAGCTCCAAATGATTGATTAAATTTGATATTCCTTTCATTAACACTGTATCGTATCATGTGAAAAAGTCTGAAAGAGCTTCAGAGTGTTCTTTAACGTGTAAAGTATAAGCCAACATAACAGTCATGTCCCTCAGCCATGAAGTGAACAAACTTTATTTCTCTCTGGGGGATTACTGGCCAGGACACTACGACAAACTTCTTGTTTTAATAATACCATGGGTTCTTGTGGAGTCCTGTAGCTCAGGGGTTAGAGCACTCGCTTTGCAAGCGAGACACCTGGGCTCAATTCCAGGCAGAGCGAAACCTGGGGCAAGTTTCCTTACTCCACATGTCTAATAATAATCCCTCCAAAACAATAATAAATTGGCTATTTTCAATCCACGACTGTTTGTGGGACACTGCTGTGCGCAATTGGCTGCTGCGTCTCACTCACAAATATACAATCAATTCACTTTACAACATATTCTGTGAAGCGCTTTGAGATGTCGAGAAGATATCAAATGCAAGGATTATTATATAATTTTATGTCCAACTGAATAGGCCGACAAAGTCTCTTTTGAATGATGGTACCTTCAACAAGAAAGTGCTCTCCCAGCTCTCAAATGGAGTGTCACCCTAGATTATAAACTCATAAAGTCCCAATGTAGGGTTCAAATCCAGAATCTTCTAATTCAGAAGCGAGAATGCTACCAAATGAGCCAAGTAGACACTATAGTTTTTACCACTGCATTAAATCTCAAACTGATAAACAATTAAAGAATTGAGGTGTGTGTGCGCGAGAGATATATAGAGAGATATCAGTTATTGAGCATTCACCAGAAGGAAAGGAAAAAGCTTTGTAGTTTGGGTGAACTAGCTCCAGTTGGATTAAGAACCTCAACAGATAATCTAACAATCTTCCTCATATAAATTATACTATAGAATAAAAATCAAGGAATTCAGAACCATGCAAAATGAGCAAAACAGTAAACATCCCTTATAACTTCTCACTAGTACAGAATCTAAACAAATACATGTCAGAATCTTGATTTCCTACTTTGGTTAGAAATTAGTTTAACTGAAGACATTGTATTTTGACATACTAAAACAGATATCTAAATTGCCACCATGCATATAAAATGGTTACACTTCTTTTCAAGAGACGTCTTCGCAACATAAAACAACTTGCATTTTATAGCGCCCTTCACGCGGGATAGTGTCCCGGAGCGCTTGACAGTTCCGGAGTCTGACCCCAAACCTGGGGGAGAGGGAGGTGACAGTAAGCACAATCAAAAAGGTCTTTATAGACATGATTTGAAAGTGAGGAGGGCAGGGGAGGCGGAACTTTACCAAAATGTGAGTATTAGTAAATAGGATGAACTAATTCAACATTGCAACCTCATAGTACAATTATGGGGAAACATAAACATTGTCTTACAAGTTGTGCTATTTGTGTGCTAAACTACAAATGGCCCTTAATTCTGTATGATGAAAAAAGAGACCCTTTTAAATGGGAGAAATTGGGAATGGGAAGTAAATTGTTCAAATAGATCTTATAGAAGTTTGTTTAATACAACATTTAAATACTGGAAGTGTAGCAGCTGTTAAGTAGTTTAACGTTTAAGCCATCCTTCCAGATGAAAAATAGTCAATTCATTTTACAGTATATTCTGTGAAGTGCTTTGTGTCGTTTCAAAGACGTGATAAGGCGCTACATCAAATGCAAGGATTATTATTATCCTTTAAGACACCAATGCCACTTTTGCATTTGAGATGTAGAACAGCAGATATAATCTCACCTCGGTCTCCATGCACCTTTCCATCGTAATTTTTAATAAGTTCCTCAATGAAAGTCCCATCTTGATCCAAGATTTCATCACCCATATAAGGAATGTTATGGAGAACAGTCTCATCTTCAACCTTAACAATTAATTATAAGAAAAATTATCTGGTTAACATTAGTTGTGGTTGATCAAAATTAGCAACATTGAGAGAACCTCTCAATGTGCTTCTTGGGAGGCAATGCAAACAACAAATTACACTTGTATAGCGCCTTTTATGCAAGGAGAACGCCGAAAACACCAATGTAAAGTGTAATGACATGTACTTTGTAGGTAAATGTGGCAACCAATTGTCAAACAGCAATGTCCCACAAACAGCCATGAAATAAATGACCAAATGAATGGGGGGAGAATTGTAGACCAGAACATTAGGAGAAATACCCTTCTCTTTGTCAAACAGTGCCACTGGACCTTTAACCTCCACCCGAACAAGCAGATGGAACTATAGTTTACACTTCGCCCACAAAATACAGTCACTCCACTTTATAGTATATCCTGTGAAGCACTTTTTGATATCCTCAACAACAACAAGATTACATTTGTATAGCGCCTTTCACGTCGGGAGGATGTATAAGGCACTATACAAATCACAACAGGAGAAACATAAGGTGTTATATCAAATCCAAGGATTATTATGTACAATTATTCATCTGAAGGACACCACCTCCAATACAATAGCACCCCATCCCCTTCCCATCACTGTATGGAGTGTCATCCTAGTTTCAAAGTAGGACATGAACCCACATTCTTCTGATTTAAGAGGCTGACGCACATCAAAATAAATATACTGGAAACTTTGGGTTTGTTTATATTATCCAGAACAGAATTTGATACCTGGATGCAGGTTACACTCAAGGAGTATGCTTCAAATCACAACAGGATAGAATAGGCAAAGAAATCTGTTTTACAAAATAGTACAACTTACTTAGATTTAAGTAAACATTTTGTGGTTCATATATTCTATGTACAACTTTGCATAATATTTCCAGATAAAAATTCTCCCAGGCACTTAAACCATCAATGTTTGAACACTAAATTCTTAAATAAGACAACAAGAATTTAAACAAACAACTTCCCTCAATATCAAGATGTGATTTAAGTGGTCAATCTAATGCAACTTTTTCCCAGATGTTGAATACCCTTTTTGAAGTCAGAACAAAATAATTTTGTGCATGCCTACACCACATACCATGAAATTCTGCTGAAGTGGAGACCAGGAATACATAACTGGAATTGAGGCAACTGCATTCAGTGTCTTCAGGGGGATGATTTGCTTTGAAAATTCAGGGAATCCACTCTCCACTGTACACTGCAATGACATTTGTTAAAAAAAGGATCAGACTACTCCGATGATTGATTACTTCAATCAAACCCCACCACACTGGATATTAAGAATAGAATTATAATTATAGCATATCCAGGAGTGCAGATTAAGTTATATACCACAAGTGTGAAGCTTCAGAACGTATTAAATAAACCTCAAGAATGCCAGTAGCAACCAAGTGTTCATCCCTGGGCCAGAAAAATTAAGAATTGGATGCGATACAAGCAAAAAAGAAATTATGTCAGGTGCAGGTTTGCTTGGGGCCAACTACATTGCATCCTGAGCAACTCTCACCCATGTGTATGACTCGCTTTTATACAACTTCCTGCTTGTGCACACCAGCTTTGTTGCCTGCAATGCCAAGATAATTCTTTATGCAGATCTTTTTTGTTTTTACACTCTGGCTTTCAAGTCAGAATGAATAGAAAGAGTGAGAGAGAAGCATTGGCACAATCAGTGACAGTGACACTATATTTACTGATGATTTTTTAAAAGAATTAGAATTGTAGAAAATTAGCATTTTGTATCAGCTGCACAATTTGCTTATTCACAGGGAAGTCAGTTCCAGTTTAGCGTGGATCATTGGCTCTCTCCTGCAATACAGAAAGCTAAAAATGCTCAGTCATGATAATAGAAGTACTTTTCCACAGAAGCATTAAAGCTAATATTTATACACACAAAAAAAACGTAATCCCATTTGTTCCCTAAACCTAAATTTTAAACTTTAATTTTAGCTACATTAGCTTTTTTTAATTTTAACACTACTTTAAATTTTATTTTTTGTATGGCAAATATTCATCCTCAACTATTTAAATTACCCCAAAACTGTACAAGTCTAAAAAGTGTGTACATTGAAGTTAAACTTATGTTCCAGTGCTAGGCATAATGCTTAAAAAATTCAGCTTTATTAAACCCATGAACTGCCATGGTATCTTATCTTCCGAACCATTCTCTACCATTTCGCCACATCCAATGATGATTTACTTACACGTGTGTGAATGACTTGGCAGATATGCAATATTCAGAGATACTACTTAACTCTTATTAGGTTCAGTTAAGTTTCAGATGTGCAAGTTCAAAAATGTTTACAGAGACTGGATGCTGCTTTTGAACAAGGATCACTTTCTGGGTGGGGCAATAATCGCTTCAAAAGTAATTTAAAAAATAGTAATTTGGTCACTCAATCAATGAATGTTTATAAGACACTGCTGTGCACAATTGGCTGTTTCACCCACAAAATATACAGTCCATTCACTTTACAGTACATTCTGTGAAGTGCTTTGAGACGTCTCAAAGACATGATAAGGTGTTATATTAAATGCAAGGATTATTATATTTATTAAATGATGATACATTACAAACATTGATGAAAACAAACATTTGACAAACATTACTCACTAGCTATATATTTCTATTATTTTTGAAAGAGGCTCAATCTTACAATATTAATCTTATCCCAGAGCAATCAAAGTTGACAAAAATTGGAAAGACGCACAGAAGCCTCTGCAGCTAATGAATCACTAAACCTCCTATGGCTTTTAAAAAACAAAGCCATGAGGCTGCATAATATTCATATGAAAAAAATGGTCTTCTTCTGTATAACATTAACAGCTTAATTTGGCAGTAGGGAGGAAACCTATAGTTTCCATCAAGCTTTTTACAAAGCTTTGCTTGTTGCATACATTTTTCCCGCGAAAGATCATGCAGCATTTACATGACTGAATTTTAGATTAAAAATCTCAGTTGTCTTATGTTGTGTATTGATTAAAATGGAAGCAATGAATAAATGCTGTATGGAAACTATTAGTAGAGCACTTTTAAAGAGGTTAACACACTTACATATGCATAATATACTATACCTCTCTGGTACCCCGCATTGTGCTCACTGAGGTCATGATGTGAACAGGCTGTATCCGATGCTGCTTCCAATCCTGGTTCAAAATTTCAGTTTTCTCCTTGATCTTTTGCCGATTTGCACTAAACCTACTCTAGAAAGATACAAACTTTAAAAATTATTTGTTCTAACCACTCCCGATTGCTTATGTACAAAGACAAGAGAACAGAAAACTGGGGGAAAGGTTTTTCTATTAATAAAAAGGTGGAAAAAAGCATCAAAAATATAGGAAAATGAGAAAAGGAGGAGGGTTGTCAAGGTGCAGATTGGTTTGCCAGAGCCACAAACACAGAAATCTGTCCAATGTCTCTGAGTTGGGTCTTTGAAAGAGTTATCGATCTTTCCCCCAAAACCCTATAAATTACTCCTTTTTAGATATCTATATATCATTATATAGACTAGGAATTCTAAAAGAAACCTTAGGTGAATCTCACTTCCCGAAACAGTGGTTGAATCAGATGGTATAAATGCATTTAAAATTAAACTAGATGTACAGATGAGGGAGAGGGAATAGCAGGATATGGAAGGGAGTGAGACTTATGTGGAGTATAAACACTGACTAGTGGGGCAGAAAGGCCATTTCCATGCTGTACAATCTATGTAAATCTATATAGATATCTGGCTATTAAAGCAGTTTATTGTGGCATTTAAAATTAGACAAGCACATGAATAGGAAGAGTTATAGAGGGTATGGAGAAAGCAGGGAATTGGGATAGGTGCGCAGACGCCAATACAAAATAATCGGCAGAATGGCTTCCAACTGTAGTTCATTTCTGTGGATTTGAAATTTTATGCTGGAAACAATATAACACCTGCTGAGGCTCAAGCATTTGAACTGTGATTTTATTAACAATAAGATTTGAACCAAACAATGTTCATCTATAAATAAGGTCAAGTATCATAATACCATAGCTTTAAAAAATATTATTCTAATAGATTCCAGCTTCTGTTTCTCACAGGACAGCTTTTGCTACAAAAATCTAGTTTTGACAATATGGCTCTTTAACTCACGATAGATTTGAAAACCACATTAAAATACAATACCAAATTACATTTGTATAGCGTCTTTCATGTCAGGAGGACGTCCCAAGGCACTGGGATTTGTCAGAAATTTTGACCCAAATACGGGGGGGGGTTGGGATCAGGGAAGGTGGAGGGCAGCCGAAGGCACGGTCGAAGAGGAGTGTATTGAGACATGTCTTGAAGAAGGCGATGGAGAGTGAGGCGAAGGGAATGTGGGATGCAGTTCCAAAGGCTGGGGGCAGAGAAGCTGAAGGCCCGACTGCTAATGGGGCCAGGCCTGGCAGGGGACGTGGTGCAGTCCACAGCCTGATGAGCGAAGGGAGTGGACAGGTTTATATGGGGTTAGCAGGTCACAGAGGTAGGAAGGAGCAAGACTGTGAAGGGCCTTGAAGGCGAGAACGAGGAATTTGAACTACAACCTCTGGGGGATGGGGAGCCAGTGGAGCCGGGCAAGGGTAGGGATGACAGTCACGGAGCCTGGTGTGGGAGAGGACACAAGCTGCAGAGTACACGAGTACCAGCTGTCCAGCCACTAGCTGCCTAATGTTATGAAAGCATACCGTCTTTACTGATCAGCCCTCCTGTTCCCGAGCCAACAACAAGCAAAGATCTGATTTGATTACAAATTTGAAGGAAAGAGCACCTTCCTCTATTGTTCTGAAAAAGCAAATCGTTCTATGATTATGCTAATGCTAATGACACTTCTACATCTAGCATTTTACCTTCACCAGTAGCTCTAAACCTCTTCAGCTGTCAAAGGCACTTATATTCAGACTTAAACCTTCTGCCAACAAACCCAACGAAGCCCAAGTGGCATTGAAGTGCTATTTAAACAAATAATCATAAAACCCTCTAGCATCTTACCTTCACTTCATCTGCTCGTCTAAAACGCTTCAGCTGTCGAAGGCGCATATATTCAGACTTAACCCGCTTCCGCCAACAAACCGGTCCTTTAGTAGATTTTCTACCAGTAAATCCCATGTTTTCCTGGTAACACGTTTTTCTTAAGTGCCGAAACAAGTTGAGTTTCCCTCCAAGATGAGGTTCTGCATTAAAAGAAACAATCATCACAATCGAGAACTGTGTTGCATAAATTCTTAAAATAGGTACTACAGCAGAATAACTGAAACTCCACCATTTTCTTGAAAATACAAGTTAAATACAAAAAATTATTATCTTAACCTATATCATACTGATCTTGCAGACATTATAATGCATACACATAGGAAGAATGACACCTACACATGACCCCTAAATATGACCAAGATGCCAATTTTACAAATGTTAAAGGAAGAGATTGTTGAACAGTAGAGTAAGCAACGTGGGTGGATGGGGGCTGAATTACCCCCAACCTAATCAATCTAGAAGGGGAAATTTCAACATAAATAATCCTATGAAAAAATGTTGATCATCTTTCTAAATCCACAAAATTATAACCTGCTTTATAACAGAGCTGGGATAACATTCACCGCAAACTTAAGTGACATCAGTGGAACCATCTGATGTGGTGAATGGAGTCCACATTCATCCTATAGCCCAACTCATGTTATAACGAAGCACATTAGAACAATGTTCTACCGTAGCATGTTAGATCCAAATGTTATAACATTTACCTGCCAGATGTAAGCGTATACATCAACCATATTAAGGTATTCCAGTTAAGAAAATAATGCCAAGTGGAAAACTGATGTATATGTTAAAAAAGTGAAAAGTTCATAATTATTCCATTCATGTGCGGTCATTTAAGTGGATGAAAGAACAGCAAAGGCAATGATTCTTTTCTCTTTCCCACCCACATCATCAAACTTTACTATGGTTAGATGTGGCAATGAATCACGTAGTGATTCCTCCTCCACAGGAGGTAAAGCCGAGTCTCTTGGGGCTGAGTTGACGTGCCTGGCAATGCAAAATTAAAATTGAGTCACTCCTCTATGACAACCTTGGTAGTCTGGTTCAAGTGGATCTGCACTAATACAAGGCATTGTGATTATACATCATGCCACCCTGACTTGTCAGCGGGGATGGCAGACGAGTCACTGGATGCAAGAATTCTTTCCACTCAGCTCAATAACCCTGAAAATCAATCCAGGGTTAAGATGGCCAAGTAGCAGGAGGCTCGCCTTAGCCGAAAGCTTGACTCAGTGTAAGCAATGGCAAGCATTGGAAGAAAAGTTTATGCCCTAAAGGCTGTATACATACAACCGTTTTGAGAGAAATCTTAATTTTCAATTTGTGGCTACAGAAGTTATTTTAGCAGTGTCAATACACAGTGAAACTGAGGCATCGTACATGGATGCTTTTTTGCTACAGATATTAAACTTCCAGATTCGTACCAGCCAAGCATTTTTATTTCAGTCAGTAGCTATGAACACAAATAACTTGACCATTTTTTGTGCTGGTACGGTCATATGAAAAGCACATAGACATAAGGATTACATTCTATGTAGTTGGGTAAAACAACAATAAGCTTCGACAGATCTTCTACCTGATCATCAGAAAACAAGAAAACAAAATATCTACATTTGCAACTTACACAAATATCTATTGAAAATGACTTGTACCATATTCTTCAAAGTGCTACTACAATCCTGAAATTAAAGGCAAAGATTTTTTTAAAAATGATACATTCATAGAAATCTGAAACATGTTTGCGAATACCTTGCAGTAGCAATTACTGGAAACAATCAGTAGCATTTTCTAGCTGATTTCTTATCCCTAATGTAATAATATTGAGGCTGATCGATACACTCCAATTGCTACCTCAACCATCAATCAACTCACAATCAGAAAATACTCCCCAACAGCCATCACTAGAAGTCTACATCTTCATTTATCTCATTAGCTGTATTTCTGCAAAAATGCACTTTCATGTTAGCCATCTCTGCAAATTTCATGTCAGCCGCCTGCTACAACTGAGGGATACATCAAACGTTAAACTGCATTAGGTATTATGACTAAAAGAATGAATGAGGTTTCTCTTTTTTTTAAGTCCGTTCATGATTTTTCCAGAACAACTTGTGCCTTTTATATAAGATAGCGTCTTGGCAAACTTCACAGTTCAAGAATGTTGGATGCCAAGGGAGGAGGATGAGCATAGATGCCCATAGGTGCAGCCAAAAAGGTAGATTTTTAGGCTGGATTTAAAGACAGAGAAGGACTGAGAGTTCCGAAGGCTGGAATTAGTTGCCGAATGCTCGGTCACCTGGTGACGCGGAGCAAGGTTGAATTTGCTGAGTGGAGGAGGTGAGCAGAAGAGAAGGGAAGGAGAATATTATAAAATAGAGAAATGGTAGACATGCAGGGATTGATAGGCGAGGGTGCTGATATTCATCCACTGAATCAATGGAGCCGAGCAAGGACTGAGGTGATGTGCATGGGGAGTTTGAGGACACGGTACCCAAGTTTTGGATTTGCTGGAGGAGTGGAATGGTGGAACTAGGAGTGCATTTGAGAAATCAACTCAGGAGGTAACAAAGGGGCAAGAGTTTCAGCGGCAAATTGGCATTTGGCCACTTTTTGTCCACTGTTCTACATCAGTGATCTAGATATTCGATACCGACAAGTGGGGATGTCTATACAAGGTCATTTGAGACATCATTGGAAGTTGAAAGATGATTGAAAAAATTCTCTTAACATTAATATTTTACTATATATATATATATATAATGGTCTGACTAAATACAAGTCAATTACCAACTGGACTTTCAGTTGTGATTAGAACTGTACACACATTATTTGTGAGAGATCTATGAATGGGTACAAACTAAAAATAATTAACCCCTTAGCAGCAAAGTAACTTCATACAGGTTTGACAAAAACAAATCTCTCCAATAATCATGGAATTACAATTTTGATCAATCAATGGATTCTCATTTCCAACATGTACTTCATTTTTTAATCAAACTGAAGTAAATATTCTGTGCATCACCTGGATTACTAAAATGGTTTGCAAAAAGGCAATTGGTATTATATATCTGTTTTATGAACTGACTGAATAAATCTTCCCAATTTGTGAAATAGATTAGAAATTAAGTGAAATGTGAAATATAACTTTCCTTTAAGCAGGATTACTTTCCTATTAAATAGTAGTACGATGCCCTTGAAGCAAATCATGCATTATGATTCATCATGCTTTTCCATTTCAGCTCAATACCAAAGAGCCTTTTAAATCATCTCTGCATCTTCCCAATCAGTGAAGATTCCAAAGTTCAGTGCGGTTATTCTGTTAAGAAGTCAAAGCCGTGCGTCAACAAGGAGTGAATAGATTTAAATAAATATTGTGTTCCCATTCCACAAGAATCTATTTTAGTCATTCCTTGGGCTATACAAAACTAAGGAATTGAATAAATAATTGCAAAATATGTCATAAAGAATAAAATCAATTTTCAAAAATAAAAGATAATTTAAATAAATTAGGTCTTGGTGCATTCTGTTGGGAGAAAGGGAAGAAAGGTCCTTTCCCTGTAAGAAAAAAAAATGATTGAAGAGGCAGCAGGACATCTGTTCATGCTAATAAAAGGCAAACTTGTTTTAATTCCAGAATTAAAGATCATTAATTTCATATTTCCATTTTCCTAGTTAAGCATACTGAGGTTGCTATAGTAGGCCCCAGTTGACATCAGCTAACTCAAATCAGGAATTAGACTCAACTTTTTAGATTGAAGACTTACAATTTTGACTGTGCTTCTGTAACTGGACATTACAAATTACATTTTAAACCAAATCAGTAGTAATTATAACTTTAACACCAATTCCATTTTATTCAGGTTAATAGATATGTGGAGTCTTGTAGAGTATTGGTTAGAGCACTATCCTCGCAAGCGAGAGGACCCAGGTTTTTGTTTACCGGGAAGGGCAAAATGTTAGGCAAGTTTCCCTACTCCACACACCTGTTTACCTTGCAGAAGTCGGAACACAGTTGTTAATCGATTGAGGGATCACTTTTCCAGGGTAATAAACCCTTAATAAATTTATTTTAAGAACTGGTCACTCAATCCACGACTGTTTGTGAGACACTGCTGTGTGCAATTGGCTGCCACATTTCGCCCACAGTATATACAGTCAATTCACCTTACAGTATAGTATGTTCGGTGAAACACTTTGAGAAGTCTCGAAGACATAAAAAAGCACTATATCAAATGCAAGGATTACTAATATAGATATACATCACTTTACACCAACTTTTCTAAGCACACATGATATGTAAGACAAACATGAGTGAAAAATATCCACTTATACCACTTTTTTTACAATATTTTAATCCAAGTACAATTAACCACTGAGTTACAAATAAAGTAAAAATATAGAATCAGAAGTCGCTGGGAACGCTCAGCAGGTCAGGCAGCATCTACGGAGAAAGGAAAGTGAGTCAACGGCAGTGATGTACGTTCTGACAAAGGGTCGTGGACCTGAGGGATGACACGCCTTCCTTTCTCCATAGATGCTGCCTGACCTGCCGAGTGTTCCCAGCGACTTCTGTTTTTGTTTCAGATTTCCAGCATCTGCAGTATTTTGCGTTTTGTAAATATATAGAATTATATACAAGACAGGGGGAAAAGGGACGGTCAAAGAGGAGGCAAGGGGGATTGAGGCATGTAATTCCAGAGGTTCAGGCGTAGCGGTTGAAAGCATGGCCACTGGCAGTGGGGTCGAGGAACGTGCAGAGAGACCCAAGCCAACTGGGTGAAGGAGGCAGGTAGCGAAATGCGGTGCAGGGTGATCGGAGCATCGAGAGGTGACTGGGGCACGAGTTGATGTACGCACAAGGTGATGGCACAGAAGCAAGTGGCGTGAATTCCTGTGCTACGACACTGTGCGGACAGCAATTCACACCACTCGGGGACCCAGGACTGGCGCTGGTATTCACACCCCTCCAGCCCACAACATAGCCACCTATTCCCTTCCATCAGGTAAGCAACAAAGCTTCCTCCGAGGTATGTGGGTGGTTTCTGCTGGATCAGCAGTTTCTGGCAGTGCGCTCCGCACTCTCGCGCCCCCCCCCCCCCCCTCCCCTCCCGATGGAGAAGTTGCTCCTGGACTCCCCCCCCCCCCCGGAGATCGGCACCCGACCCTCTTACACCGATCGGTGCCCGTCGTGCGGGTCACCAACAAGTGCCGTACATACTCACAGCGCAACAACAGTCCCCACCGCCGCCACTCACTCACTCACTCACTCGCTGCCCCCCACACCCTCACATCACATCACATCACATCCGGCCCTGTTCGCCCGGATTTTCCCCCTCAGCCTTTCCAGAAGAGCGGCTCTTTTTTTTTCTCTCTCTCTCTCTCTCTCCCCCCAACTTCGTCATTTTTACGACTTCGTTATTGAGTGTTTTTTTAAAAATAAAATAAAAATTTTTTTTAAACCCCCCCCAAAAAAGAAAGAAAAAGCCAACCGTTTTTTTTTAAAAAAAAACGAACGCGGTCCGCGTCGCGAGATTCAAACCGCTGTCAAATAAATAACCGGCGGAGAGGGGGAGAGAGAGAGAGAGACAGAGACAGAGAGAGATCCCGGTGGGGAGTGAATCAATGGGAAACTTAAATCAATGACGGATTTTACAGGAATCCTCCCCCCTTTTTTCTGAGTAGATTCACCTTCAAACTTTTTTTTGTGTGTCACTCCTCTGTGCTCGGATGCAGGTCGCAGGCCACACAAAATATCAATATAAAAAAAAGGTCGTCGATCAGACGAGACTGGATCCCAGCCCCCGGGACTCGCCTCGGACGTGCGGGTCAGCACACAGCGCTCTCCGCTCTCCGCCCGCCGCCGCCTCCCCCCCCAGGACAGCAGAGACGGAGGCAGAGAGTCAGTCAGACCAGAGAGGTCCGTCTCTCTTGCTGCCCACTACAGAGGTGGGGGGGGAGACAGCGAGGCCCGGGGTGGGTGTTGGGGGGAGGGGGAGAGAAACCCGTCTCTCTCCCTGACGGCAGTGAGGAGTCGGATGGTGACATGTCTCTCCCCCACCCCCGGCGGTGTGGACGCTCACTCCCCCTCCCTCCCTCCCTCCCCCCCCCCCCCCCTCACCCAGCGTGACGTCTGCCTGTGGCTCGCGATTCCCATTGTGACTCACGGGCTGTCGGCTGCCCGCGCGCCGCCGCCTCGAGCCGTTGGTGGGGGGGGGAGGGAAACGTCAAACTGCCGCCAGCCTGGGCTGGGCTGGGGCGGCGCGGGCGGGAGGGAGGGAGAGGCCGCCCGAGAGAGAGGGGCCGCTCTCCACTGAGAGGGGGGGGTTGGGGGGGGAGGGGCGGGCACTCTGAGGTCGCTCCCACGTGGAGAGAGAGAGAGAGAGAAGCCGCCCTGACGGGGCTGGAATGGAGCCGCCGACCGCTTAGCAAGTCACAGCCTGGATGGCGGGGCCTGGGTTTGTGGGTATTTTCAAGCCCCGGGGGTGGGTGGGTGGGGAGGGGAGAGAGAGAGGGGGGGGGGGTGTGGGGGGAGAGAGAAAGGGAGGAGAGGCTGCTTTGTTACCTGCCGACGAGGAGTGAGACCGTGTCGCCGCCGCCGCCGCCGCCGGGACAAGTTGGAGCCGAAACTTTTGTGCGAGTTTTTTTTTAAAAAAATATAGATATATTTTTAAAAATTTAAAAACGAGCCGAGCCGAGCGAGACCGGGTCTGCGGTGAGGCTGCGCGAGGAGCCGGTTGGGCCGGGCGCACGCACAGCCGTCCGTGAGAGACTGACTGTCTGGCGGCCTCGCTCGCTCCGTGTCTCTCTTTTGTCTCCCACTCGCCGCCCGCCCGGCTTCCAGGGATCGGGCGCGAAAAGACAGCGGTCCAATCCAATCAAACCTTACTGAGGCCTCCCCACCCGCCGCAGCGACAGCCGCTCCCATTGGCTGGCCGTCGCCGCCAATGGCTGTGCGCGGTGGCGCCGGGTGGATGTGGGCTGTGACCATGTGGTCTCTGGGTCTGTCTGTCAGGGGACACATTGCTCTGCAATGATGGTCAGCCTTGTATTTGATGCAGCGCCTCATCACGTCTTGGAGACGTCTCAAAGCCTTCCATAGGATATAATGCAAAGTGAATTGACTGTATTTTTGAAGGTTTAAGGAAATCTTTATGGTGGTGATTGCGAGGGGTGGGGGAGGAGATTCTCTCTCACTATTTTAATATTTTAATATTATTTTAGTTTTAACTGTTTTAACAGTGAAATCGTGGAACGCACCATTCCCGCCTCAACTTGTCAATGCACGATCTATTGCTTCTCAAATGCAATGGGAGCGTTTCTACTTGTAGGACTCCTTCTCCAGCTTGAAACCCAACACGCTGGTGATTGTTGAGTGTCAGCCTCCGTCCCTCTTTTCAGATTTGTTGCACGTTGTGGCTGTCAACGTGCACAAAGTTCAAAGCCCCGTGAACACCTTCCCTATAGTTCCGCCTCCTGACTACAGTATTTAAATGAATAAGCACTTAAATGTGATTTGGAACATCTTCCTAAAGTTAAAAGAGGCTATGTATTTGCATAATAAATGTAAAGCTCGTAATGCAAATAGCAGAAATTGGCCACTGTCCCCGGTTAAGGAAGAGAAAATTCAGTCAAGCATTTCACTTAGCTGATTAACCTGTTTGTGAATATGAATAATGGGTGTAGTCCTATTTTTCTGCTGACAGAACAGTATATTTTCTGTTGGCATGCTATAATAATTATAATAATAATCCTTGCAATTGATATAGGGCCCTATCACGTCTTCGAGATGTCCCAAAGGGCGTCACAGAATATACTGCAAAGTGAACTGACTACATTTTGTGGGCGAAACGCGGCAGCCAATTGCGCACAACAGCGTCTCATAAAGATTCATGCATTGAGTGACCAAACCATCACTTTTTTTTAAGGGATTATTACCCAGGAAAAACAATCCGCCAATTGATTAACCGGATTCCTACTTACTGCCAGGCAAACAGAGGCAAGTGGAGCAAGGAAACCTGCCTGCCGGTTTCAAATCAAACCCAGATCTCTTGCTTGCCAGGCAAGCATCCCAAGCACCAAGCTACAGGATGGGGGAAGAGGAAAGGTGCATAAAACCAACAAACTAACCTGATGGGTATTGAATGTTAAAAAAGACTATTCAAATGGGTGCACTTCATAGTTTAGTTAAAATTAACCATAAATATTAAATCAGCTCTAAAATATAAAAATAATGCCTTTTAGTTTGGTCAACACTCAGCCTACACCTAGACCAAGGACAGTGTCTCTACATTTGCCATTCTATTGGTCATTGGCAGTGAAGCACAAACCAATATTCTCTTGTTTGAGAAAATATTACTGTGGAAGCCCAAAATCAGTGAACCATCAGGAACAAACCCAGAAATGTATATGAACACTGTTAATTTGACGAGGAAGAAATTGCAGCTCATGACAATTAGGTCATCAATCTTTCCTGTGTTCGTGAGAATGGACCTCATGAATCATGGTGGCTACTCACGCAAAAGTCATCTCATTAGCAACTTCCGCACTCCAGCAGATTCTGCTGCATTAACGCCTTAATCTCCTTTAGTTGCAACAATTCACAAAAGGTTATGAAGCTCAGGTTATCAAAAGTGCCACTAATTGCTGCATAAAAAATATGAGTTTGATATATATTTAGATTCTGCAGGCTTCTATTGCTATGAAAGCTTTAGCCAGCAGATTTAATATTCAACAGCACCAGGAGGGAGAAGGAAATAATAATAATATAATAATAATAATCCTTGCATTTGATATAGCGCTTTTCACATCTTCTCGATGTCTCAAAGTGCTTCACAGAATAGACTTTATAGTGAATTGACCGTATATTGTGTGGGCAAAAATAGAAGGGTTTAGGAAAGGGAATTGGGAAGAATGGAGGTTGGTATGGTGTATAAAACTGGCATGGACTAGTTGGGCCAATTTTTATGTTGTACTATTATGTATGTAATGCCATACTATGTGAATTAAATACCGCTTCATGTGGTAAAAGATAACATTGAAATATGACTTTGAAGGTTTTTTTTACGCTCTGGAGTAGATTGGTTACCTTTAATGTGCGTTATTTATATATACATTAGAATACATTAGAATATACAGCACAGAAACAGGCCATTCATCCCAACTGGTCTATGCCAGTGTTTATGCTCCACATGAGCCTCCTCCTGCCCTTCCTCAACCAATCCTTCAAGCATAACCTATTCCTTTCTCCCTCATGTACCTATCTCGCTTTCCCTTAAATACATCTATATGGAACATCTGCCTTACTCATATGTCATCTTAAGACTATAATAACAACAACTTACATTTATAGAGCCCCCTTCAACACAGGGTAGCATCTCAAAGCACTTAAATAGGCAGACGGGAGTTTGGTTTAATGTCTTAAGACAGCTGCTAGGGGTTAACCAAACAGGGATGCAGCAGTGACTTGTAATCCTTATTTTTTGGGGGTCAGTTGGGTGTCTGACACATACGGAACGTATCAAAATGTTTGAGAGTATCCAAACCAAACTGAGAATTCCATACATCCCACCTACACATGGAAAACCCAGAGATAGATTTTTGGTCCTGTCCTGGAGGATGCACCCTGCTTACCTAATTCCGGAAAGTGTTAGCCGCAGGTTGGCAAAACTGCATAGCTTGTCATTGATATTGCTGTGTGGTAAGCTTTCCTGCTGCTTGTCCAGCTAGGACCACCCTATTTGCTTTGGCTTGCAGGGTTAACAAGAGTTGAGTGAGAGGCCTCCCTGCCCACATTGACTGGTCTGCCCTTCCAGGTCCTGCCGATGAGCCAGGCTGACTGTGCTGTCATCAGCAGTGCCCTGGAATACTGCAGACCCGCCTGGCTCAGGAACCGGACTACCGAGACCACCACAGAGGGCTGGCTCAATTCCAATATTCTGTTGCCAAGCATGTCACCTTGGAGCCAGTTCAGCCCCAAGGAGATCCCGCTTATTGTAATTCCGCTTATTGTAACACTTAGCAGTTGGAACTGAAGGATGATTACTTTTTGCTGGGTAATGTGTAATATGATACTCTCGTTATCCACCAGAATCAGGTTTTACAGGTTGATGTGGCTTGTATGCACTAGCAATTTGTGTTAATAAAAGCAGCTTTTCTTAACCCACCATGAAGACTTTCTACCTCACTATCATCCTTCAAGCCATCCCACAGTCATGAACACCTTCATACATCCAGCATCTGGAATCCACCTTGATCGGCTCTCAGAGAGGTAAGTAGCTGCTGCTTAAGCCGGATTGGAACGGTTCAAAGAGGGAATGGTGAAAGAGAGAAAGGAGCCGAGCTGGGACGCAACGACTCGTTGCAGGACCTTGGAAAGGAATGGGAGGTTAGAGATGGGGCGGTAGCTGGAGAGGAGGGATGGATCCAGGGAAGGTTTTTTCGGGATGGGGGTGATGACGGCCGTTTTTAGGGGGGTGGGAACTGAACTGATGGACAGTGAGAGGTTGATGACATTAGACAGGAGGGGGGGCCGGAAGGTGGAGCTGGAAGACGAGGAGAGAGGTGGGGATGGGATCGAGGGGCAGGTGGTGGGTTTGAGTTTATGGACAGTCATGCAGTATAAATTGCATTGTAGCATTCAGTGATATGATAAAGAAAGAAAAGTGGATTTTTATTACAAGTACTTCTAGTATTTTCACAAAAACGATAACTTACATTTATTTCGCACCATTAATAATACTCTTTGCATTTCATACATTATCACATCGTAAAGACATCTCAAAGCGCTTCATGGAATATACTGTAAAGTAAATTGACTATATAGTTTATGGACAAAAATGGCAGCCAATTGTGTAGAGCAATGTCCCACAAATAACAACAACAATAACTTACATTCGTATAATGCCTTTCATGTAGGAAGGACATCCCAAGGTGCTGAA